GCAGGGCGACAGAGGCCGGCCTTGCCCCGCCCCCGCCCGCCCTCAAGCGGGCCAGTTGAGCCCTGAATCTCCATGGGGTCAAGGGGACGTAAACCTACCCCTCATCTCTCACCCCAGCCCTGGTAGAGGGCTTTCCCTCCTTTCCCCCAGCACGTATCGGACTCTGGTATGCAAGAGGGGCAGACAGCCCATGCAGAGGGCTGCACCATTTCCCCCCATGGCATCCCCTCCCCAGGCTCATCCCTGAGTCGTAAATGTCACCTGGGTTTTGGGCCCTGATTTCTTTGGGATTTTAAACTGCAGTGACCATCAAGTGTGCGGAACGGGCGCTCTCCCTGTTTGCCGGCCGCCATGGTGGGTGCTGGGCTAAGCTTCCTGTACTCCCTGTGGTAGGCCTGCCCTACCATACAGCGCTGAGCGCACCCATTAACCCTTCTGGACAGAGTAGGGGACTGAGATCCCCGGAGGTACAGTGACTTACTCAAGGTCATCCAGCCAGGAGGTGATGAGTCCATCTCTCTGTTTCAGTCCAGGAACTGGTGGTCTTCACCTCCTCTTGGTGCTGCGTGAAAAGAGGGCCATGGTTGTGGAGGCCTGAGGTCCTGGGGAGGATGTGGGGGCAGAACAGGTCATCCAAACCCTTGGCCCAGGGGGAACCAGAGCCCTAAAGTGAGAGTGCTGGGGAATGGCATCAGCCAATGAGTATGGGGACCCTTAGAGCCTGGGACACCAGCTGTTTTCCCCATGGAACAGAGCCTGAGCCTGTCTCCCCATCCCTCAAATTCTCTCTGCTGCTTCCTCCTTCTTTAGGTACTCTGCCTGTCCCTCTATGGCCTGCTGTTTGTCCTCCTCTCCTTGTCCCAGCCCAGCCCCCATGGCCTCACACACCTGCTGGGAGCCCAGGTCCTGGACCTGCGCCCGCCTCACTGCCTGTCTTAGCCCAGCATTTTCCCATCCAGAGCCTGGTCCTTACTGTTATGCCCTCCACCCTGCACGGCCTTTGTCTTCCACCCACTGGCTCCAGCCAGCCCGATGTGATTCATCTTTGGATATGGCCTTGTGCCAAGGATAGGGCTTGTTTCTGGCTAGCCTCAGCAGGCAGTTTGGGGAAGACAAACAGATAGGTGGACAGAAGGACAGATAGATGATCCCACCCAGGGCCCTGTACCCTACGGGAGTTGAAGAGCCATTTGTGGAATATCTGCCACCCAGAGCTTCACCAGGAGACACTATTTCAGGCCCTGCTCTTGGCCAGCTTTGTAAAGAAATCTGCCACCCCATCTGTCTGGCTCTGCTACATCTCTGTGTCAGTCTCAGTTTCCCTCTTCAGGCCTCGAACTCCAGCTCCCCAGATAGAGTTGTGCAGATTAATTGACAGTTGGTCACCTGGGCCAATGTCAGTGACTGCTCGGCCCTGCTGAGGCACCTGTCTCTGACCTAGGAGTGAAGGAGCCCTTAATAGAAATCTGACAGAGATGCAGGAGGTGGCCTCTCTGTGACCAGCATGTGACAGAGAACCCAACATTGTCAAAGCCCCACATCTCTAAGCCAGAAACACCATCTACGGATCAAGGAGTCAAAGGCAGACTGCTCGGTAAGACCTGCATTCTGTCTGTCTCCCTGAGAGGCCAGCCGTCTCTCTGCTGGGGAGCACCCCTAGGGTTTTGGGTCTGGCCCAAACTCCACTGACCCATGTCCTCTTCACGGCAATCGAAGCCCTTTTCCTTATTTATTATGGCTCTTCCAAAATAAAACTGAAATTATCATATAGTTTTGCATCCATCTTCATCCACACAGCAACCGTGGGAGGACTTTTACCCTATTTTTCAGGTGGGGAAAGCAAGGTTCAGAGAGGTTGAGTGAAGGGTTTGAAGGTGTGCAGTGAGTGACAGAGCAAAGATGAAAACCTAGAGCTACTACTGAACTTATTTGACATTGTCTAAAATCTCCCGGAAGGGAAGGAAGTGGATTTTAAATTTGATTCTCATTTGCATAGATATGTCAGTCCTGTCTGGAAGGACTTAAGAGAAGCTAGAGGATTGTTTACCTCCTGGGAGGAGACCAAAGACTGGAAAGGTGGGGAAAGGTGCAGAGTGGGGGAGGGAAGGACATTCTCTGCTGACCACTCCTTTGTACCTTTTGTGTGTACTGCCTATTTAACAACCAAATAAAAGTTGATTCAATTTTTTTCAGTTCAATTCAATTCAGTTCAGTTCAGTTCAGTTCAGTTCAATTCAATTCAATTCAATTCAATTCAGTTCATCCCTTCCTGCAGCCTGTCTTCAAGCAATTTCTCCAGATGTTGGGAACTCAGCCAAGCAAGAGGAGCCCATGGAGTCTGCCCTTCTCAGATAAAGCCCCAGTTGTCCCAGCAGTCCACTCGGGACAAGCTGGGGGAGCCTATGCTCCCACTCAGGTGCCTCCAGTCTTAATTGCGTGCTGTCTTTAAAGCTGAATTGATTTCTCTGCTTGAAAGTTTACTCTGGTTTCACTGGCGTTAGTAGCTACTGGATTTCCTTACGTATGAGAGAGGAGAGAGTGGAGGATGCAGGGACTATGATGAAAGGCCGGGAGAGGAGGGCATGAGCAGTTTGCAAAGGCACACCTTACTCATCTAACAACATGGCCATATCTCATCTCCCTTCTTGAAAGTACAGTGTTACAGTGTTTTTGCTCCACAGTGAGTGAAATGGGGATTATCCCTGACTTGCCCATGGAATCTCTGGGTGAATTGGTCGAAATCACAGCTGTTCAATGCTGCACCTACAGGCAGAATCGTGTCTTCTGGACACTGTATGTGGTGTACAGAGCCAGTGGGCCAGACAAGGGTCTGCTTTCTTTTTTTTTTTTTTTTTTTGAGAGGTTTTTGCTATAGGGCGTGTGCACTCGCCAGACAGACAGAGAGAGACAGAGAGACAGAAAGCAGGAAATCACCCCCCAGGGGGGATGGTCACGCCGCAATCCCTTCTCCTCCACTCTCCTCTCGGGATCTTGGGCATGCACGCACACGCGCCCGGCGTGAGTTTAAGCCACCGGGTCCAGGACTTGAACCACGGTTGACTACGTGGGAGTCCAGCGACATAGCCATTACGCTAACTGCTGGTCCCAAGGGTCTGCTTTCTTGTATTTTGGAACTGTGGTCAACTACGTGGGAGTCCAGCGACATAGCCATTACGCTAACTGCTGGTCCCAAGGGTCTGCTTTCTTGTATTTTGAAAGACATTTTCACTCCAGGTACATGTAATGTTGTGGGATGGAATAAGTCTGGACTGTGGACTCCGACGGACCTGGACTTGGCTCCCAATATCATGGGCTGTGTGACCTAGGGCAAATTACTTCACCTTTCTGAGTTGTTCTTTTATTTATGAGAACGGTGTCTAGTATGCTAAGCAGGTGGTCAGATTTATTGAAAACTTATTAGATATCAAGTGGTGGGCCAGACACAGATGATACATCTGTGAACATTACAGACCCACAGCTTCCTCGGGGGGCTTATGGGGCTGGGGAGAAAGGCAAGCGATTTAGCCAGTAAGTACCAGGGTGAGAAGGGCTAGGATGGACAAGGGCAGGGAGGGCTAGTGGCCGAGGCCTTGGGAGAGTGTCCTGGGCTGTGACTCATTCTTTCTGGCTGGTCTCCCACAGACTATAATCTCTGCCAGGGCAGAGCTAGCCCTAAACTTCCTGAGAGCCCAAAGATCCAATCTCACCTGAGTGAGACCAACTAGGGAGGATAAAATAATAGACCTAAGCTGGGGTCTGGCCAGATCTGTTGGGGTATTTATTTCTGGTCCATGCACCAGCTCTTAATTTGGGTATATAATTTCTCCTCTACAAGCGTCGACTCTCTCTTTGTAGAATGAGGTTAGAAGCAGTATCTATTGTATTGAATGATTATGAGCACAAGAGGTAATGTATGTCAAGGGCCTGCCTGGCATTCAGGAAGTGCTCAACAAATGGAGGTGGTATTGTGTTTAGGGGACTTAGTTTTTCCATCTGTATAGTAGGAGGTTGGGTTAGATTGGTGGTTCCCAGACTTGAGCATGCATCAGAATCATCTGGAGCATTTGAGAAAACAGTTTTCTGGCCTAACCCTGTGGTGCAGTAGTTAGACAAGTGCTGGGAGGCTAGAAGCTATCTGGTAACTATGGGTTCAAATCTCTGGGTTGGCCTCAAAATACACTGGGGGCATAGGCACCCAGGGTCCTGAGGAACTGGAGAGCTGGGGAAAGGGGACTACAGTGTGACCAAGACTTTGTCGAGGCTGTTTTTCTCTCTCTAGTGCATGCACATGTGCACGCATATCCACACTCTATAGTATTAAATATAAAAGCAAAAACAAAACAAAAGCACAAAAGCAGAGATTCTTGAGCCTTACCCCAGAGTTACTTTCTTTTTTAAATTATCTTATTTATATATTTATGTATTTATTTATTTATTAACCAAAAAGGACAGAGTGAGAGAAAGAGTCAGGTCCAGGTCTGGAACTGCGGCCGGCCATATGAGAATCCAGCATCTTAACCACCACACCACCTGCTGGCCCTGAGTTTCTGATTCAGCAGTTTTGGGATATGGTTGAGAATCTGCATTTCTAACAAGTTTCCAACTGATGTTGATGCCTCTGGACCAAGACCATATTTTGAAAACCAGTGGTCTAAATGCATTAGGCCATGGCTTCCTCATCTGATACCTCATCTGATAGCTCTGGCTTTCTGCCCTCCATGGGAAAAACAAAATGACCAGGGGACCCCGAGTTCCATGATGACAGGGATTGTGTCTGGTCAGCCTTCCTGGCTGTAGCACAGGTACCTCTACACACTTTTATGGGTTGAATTGAATCTCCAAAAGTTGTTGAAATCCTAACCCCTCAGTACCTGTGTGATCGTACTTGGATATAGGGTCCTTGCAGATGTAATCAAGTTAAGATAAGGTTATTAGGGTGGGCCCTGGATTCAAATTGACTAATGTTCCTGTAAACAGAAAAGAGACACAGGCAGAGACATGAGGGGAGAATGCCCTGTGATCATGGATGTGAATACTGAAGTGGTATGGTTGCAAGCCAAGGAAAACCACTAGAAGCTTGAGAGAGACAGGGAAGGATTCTCTTCTCCATGTTTCAGAAGGCCTACACCTCAGTTTCAGCCTTCATCTTCCAGGACTATGAATCAGTCCATTTCTCTTTTTTTAAGCCACCAGTTGGTGGCATTTTGTTAGAGTAATCCTAGGAAACTAGTAGGAAGGGGTCTTCAAAAAGTTCATAGAAAATTTGTATTATGAAAAAAAAATCTCTGCATGGATTTTATTTTGTACCAAAATAAACCCTTTATGAGATAAATTTCATTGCTTCCACAAGCTTTTTGAAGTCCCCTTGTAGCCTGGGTATCTTTTTCCAGATACCACTAATGCAATTTGTCCACAGTTATGTCCTGTCTTTCTTCATTTGCAGTCTGCTTCCCCTCAACAAACTTGGTGATGTTTCCTTTCATGCCATCCATGAGTGCAATGAGTATGGAGGTTAAGCGGTGAACTCTCACCTGTCACTTTTGACCTTCCTCCATTTTCTGGGCGTATTTTATTATCCCTCATATTTCACCTGGGCAAGTGGAGAAGGAAAAGTGACCGTGCAGGCACGTAATGAGCTGGGAAGGCCTCGTGCCTTTGTTTCCCATTCCTTCTGTTCCATGGGTGCTGGGTAGGGACAGGGAAGTCAGGGAGGGTGTGCCCCAACTCTGATCAGGAGATGGCGCCCCAGGCGAATTACATCCATCATCACTGCATCATTACTGTCAAACCGTGTCCCCTCCCTTGTCCCCATCCTGGGCAGGATGAAAGGTGGACAGGGCATATATGTTCCTTTTTACCTTATTTCTCAGGCAATTATTAACCTGAAGGTGCCTGCAGGGTCTGGGAAACTGAGGGGGAAGAAATCCTCAGCTCCCTCCCTGCCTGGCCTCTAGCCTTTTCTCTTCTCCAAATTCACTGGGTAACCTCCTTGCTTGGCACCTAGCCCCATAGGACAGCCATCCTCTTCCTGAAAAGTGGCTCTTTTCAGGAAGTGAAGGGTTTTAAATTCATCCTTGCTTCTATGTTCACTATTCTCCCAACCCGACCCTGGCTCTTTTCTCTCAAACCTTCTCTGACCACTCCCTATCCTTCACCTGAATAAACTTAGTCTAGTGCCTGCCGCGCCTTCTCTGCATCTGACAGAGGACCACTGCTGTTTCTTCTGAAAACACCCTCCATTCCCACACATGAAACATTGATAGAGAGGGCCAGTGGGTGGGGTTCCTCTATGTACTCCTCAGCACCCCAGCTTCCCTCTAAGAAGGGCCACATTGTTAAGTGTTTCTTTACTAACCCTCTCCCTTCATGAGACTGAACTCTTGAAGAACAGGGTCCTGGACTTGTCTTTGCATCTGCAGCTGGGAGCAGTAGCTTTGTGATTTAAACCAGGCCCTCAGTGTGGGCTTGCTGCATTAAGAACAAAAAATGGGTGAACAATAATTATCATAATAACGAGGGGCCGGCAGGTGGCGTGGTGGTTAAGGGTGCCGGACTCCCACATAGGGAACCGCGATAGGTCCTTCTCTGGTCAAATTAAAATAAATACATAACATTCAATATTTTTTTTAAATAAAAAAGATCATAATGACGAATGTAATTATTCATACAAGATTGTTCGGGTGAATCAGGCCCTGTGTATCAAAATCTCATTTAAGGCTAAAAGACCTCTGTGACAGGGACTCCTTTATCCCCACTGCACGGATGAGCAAACTGAGGTTTTGAACGGCAATGAGCAATTCTCACCAGCAGGAAAGGGTTAAAATCCAAGTCTGCCCGATTCCAAAGCACAAGTACCCCAGAATTGCTACACGGGCAGGAGGGTGCGCTGGTGCATTTGGTATGGGCAAACTGAGACCATCGGTTGAAACCCCCGCTCCTGGCTTCGGCAGCGTACGCCGGGGCGTACCGGTGACGCGTGCGCAGTGGGGCGGCGGCGCCCCCTGCGGGCGGCGCGCAGGCGGCAGCGGCGGCGAAGGGGCGCTCAGTGCGCCTGCGCACGTGTGGAGCTGGTGGCGGCGCTTGGCCCTCTCGGGCCTCCCGCTGGACCCGGCAAGGCTGTGCGGGGCGCGGGGAGCCTGCGCTCTGGGCTCTGGCCCCAGGCCGGGGGTGCTCCTCCAGGGCCAGGAATCCCCTTCCGCCGAGGGGCGCGGCCGCTCGCCACGCGGTGTGCCATTCGGGATCCGCAGTCGCCAGCGCCAGCCGGGTCGCCAGGGCGGTCGGCGGTCCCGCCTTGCAGCGTCCAGACTCCTCGCTTTTAGAATGAGGGGATCCAGAGTACCCCATCCATGACCCCGGGAGCGGCCCAGAGTGTTAGGCATTGTCTAAGCCAGCGCTGTCCAGTAGAAATACCATACTAGTCTCACGTGAGTCTTGTATGTAATTACACTTTTTCTAGTAAACGCTTTAAAGGTAAAAAGAAACAGGTGACATTAATTTTTTAAAATGTAGTTTATTTAACCCATTTCAAAATATTGCCATTTCAATACGTAATTAATACAAAACGTTATTGAAGTGTTGTGTCTTAGAGATACAGTGTTTTACAGCCATCTCAATGCAGGTAGGCCTCATTTCCAGTGCTCAATGGCCACATGTGACTGGTGGCTACCTTAGTGGATGGTGCAGGTCAGGACCATCAAGGCAGCCCTGGACTAAGTAGTCAGCCTTGCCTTTTTTTTTTTTTTTTTAGAGGTTTTTGCTATAGGACGCGTGCGCTCACCAGACAGACAGAGAGAGACAGAGAGACAGACAGAAAGCAGGAAATCACCCCCCAGAGGGGGTGGCCACGCCGCAATCCCTTCTCCATTCTCCTGTCGGTATCTTGGGCACGCATTCACACGCGTCCAGTGTGAGTTTAAGCCACCGGGTCCGGGACTCGAACTGCAGTCGACTACGTGGGAGTCCAGCGACATAGCCATTACGCTAACTGCTGGTCCCAGCCTTGCCTTTTCTCCTCACATTTCTCCCCATTCTTTACTTATTGAGCATCTTCTATGTGTGGGGGCAGCAGAAGTAACAAAAATACTTGCCCACCTCTTCCCCACTGCTGAATTCCTTCAAACCAAGTAAAGTTATATGTCCCTAACAACTGGGATTTCCTTTTGCACCTATAGCTTAGTGCTGTCTCTGGTGTAAGGCACTCAGTTCTGAGAACACCTGTGAAAGTAGACGATCTTCGTGCTTTATAGATGGGGAGAAACTGAATCTTGGAAAAGTTATATAATTCGTCAGAGTCCCCCATGTGTTTGAGCCAGGACATGAACTCATGCCCTTCTGACTTTCAGTCATGCCACTGGGTCTACTCCCAAGCTTCTGGGGAAAGAAGATGACAGAGCCCTTTTAACCAACTTAAGTTTTCTTGTAAATTTTTGGAAGTTACTGTCTTTTGATTGCAGAAATAACCACTTTCTTTTTAAAAAAGAAATATTTTATTTAACTTTATTAATTTGACCAGAGAGGAACAGAGTGAGAGAGAGAAAGTGAGAAAGCAAGCCGCCAGGTCTGGGACTTGAACCACAGTCAGCCATATGGAAGTCCAGCGCCCTTAACTACCATGCCACCTGTTGGCATCCATCCCCCTCAAATAACCACTCTTGACAGAGCTGAAAAGATATTTGATATTACCAAGCAAATGTAACAAAAGAGGGTTTTTTTGTTTTGTTTTTTTTGCTGAGTCTATTTCATTTAAGGACTAAACTTTACCTTTCATAGTGGTAACTGGTTATTGGTTTTGAAGTGTCAGCCGAAAGCAGTTAGAAGCAAAGTTATGTAGCCAAGCAGCAGTCAGTCTGGTTCTTCCTAGGCCAACAAGAGAATGAAAAGAGGATTGATTTTATGTTGGGTCCCTTTATGGAAACATGTTACCTATGCAGTAGCCATAGGCAAACTCCCCAGCTACCCAGGCATCCATCAAAATATGTCAGGTGTCTTTTTTGTGCCCTAATTTTATGGAAAAAACAGATATTTCCAGTTGATCTGGTTCTTCCAGGCTATTTCTCCATTCATTTAACAACTGTTTAGTGATCACCTACCCTGGGCAAGATACAGTGCCAGGCATTGGGGCTGTTCCAGTGGTGAATAGAGGGTGTTCTGGGCTCTTAGAGTGGAGTGGGGAAATAAATGCTCGGCAAATAAAAACTGCATGAGGCAGTTGATTGTGGTATGTCCTGGAGGACATACCAGCCACACTGGGGGATTCTCCTTTTCTTTCTTTCCTTTTTTTTTTTTTTTTTAAATAGAGGTTTTAGCCTTAGGGTTCTTGTGCTCACCAAAGAAAGAGAGACAGACACAGTGAGAGAGAAAGTGAGAAATCATCCCCCAGGGGGATGGCCATGCTGCAGTCTCTTTTCCCCCTTTCTTCTCTTGGGACTTTGGGCATACACACACATGCACCTGGTGTGATTTTCAGGCCACCGGATCTAGGACTTGAACCATGGTCAGCCATGTGGGAGTCCAGTGATATAACCACCATGCCATCTGCTGGTCCCATGGGACTCTCCTTTAGAGCAAGTGACAGGGAAGGCACATGAAAGTCTTAACTTCTGGGCTGCTTTTACCTTTCTGGCTATGGCAGTTTTCTAATGATTTGGGCTGTTCCCTATCCTTCTTGTATAAGAACAGATAAATTAGTTAAGAGGTTTTTTGGGTGTAGGTTTTTGCCATAGGGTGCAAGTGCTCGCCAGGGAGAAGGAGAGAAAGAAATCACCCCAGGGTGGATAGCTACACTGCAATCCCTTTTCCTCCATTCTCCTCTTGGAATTTTGGACACGTGCCTGGTGTGGTTTTATAAGCCATCTGGTCTGGGACTCAAACTGTGGTCACCCATGTGTGAATCCAACATCTTAACCTCCAGTTTGTCTGCTGGCCCCCAAGACTTTTTTTTAAGGCTAATGAGTAGATTCTAAGACTTTCTGTTCTGGAAGTTATCTGTTTTAAAAAGTAATGGACAAAACTAGAAGACCCGAGTTTCTAGTTCTAATTTGACTGTCCCTCCATGACCAGGCAAGGCATCAGTCTGTCTGAGTCTTACGTTACTCTGTCGTATAACCCCCTAATAGCATGCACTGTCCCTGTCTCACATGTTTGCTGTGATTGTCACATCAGTTATTCTATAAAGAATACTTTAAAGATCAAGCTAGAAAATTATGTTTTCACGAAAATTACATTTTCTCATGCTAATTTTTGTCTTATTTGTCTTATTTTCATGAAAATTACATTTTATCATTCTGAATTTTTGTCTTATTTTGTAGGTTGTGGGGTGATCACGGGCAAGAAGCTTTAGAATCTGCTCATGTTTGCTTAATAAATGCCACAGCCACAGGAACTGAAATTCTTAAAAACTTGGTCCTGCCAGGTAATGTAGTTATGTAGTTGTTTTACACACGCACACACACACACACACACACACACACACATACACATATATATTTGACTGATTCTGATTCTGTTTTGTCTCCAAGGTATTGGTTCATTTACAATTATTGATGGAAATCAGGTCAGCGGAGAAGATGCTGGAAACAAGTATGTTTTATTCTTTTCATATCTATACATGTTAGGGAAGGCCTTGCACTGTCACACAAGGATGAAACTTGAAATCTAGTGTCATCTCCTTGATTGGAGTAACTTGATACTTTGGTGGAATCACCTTTATATGTAAGATTATGGTGAGGAGAAAGTAAGTTAATGCAGGTAAAGTGCTAGCACAGTGTCTGGCAGATAGGCCAGAAAAAAAAATAATCATCATTAAATCTTTATTGTTACTAATACAAAAGAGTAGTCATTATTCTTTATTTGTGAAATCTGGACACTTCCTATGCCTTTGCATTGATTCCTAGGTGTTAACTATATAACTAACAATAATTAGGGGGATTACCAGATGGCATAATGGCCACATTGCTGGACTCCCATGTAGTCGACCGTGGTTCGAGTCCCAGACCTGGTGGCTTAAACTCACGCCGGGTGCTTGTGCGTGTGTGCCCAAGATCCCAAGAGGAGAATCGAGGAGAAGGGATTGCAGCGTGGCCATCTCTCCTGGGGGGTGGTTTCTTGCTTTCTGTCTGTCTCTGGTGGAGCGCACGTGCCCTGTAGTAAAAACTTCCCCCCCAAAAAACAACCCAATAATTATACTTTTGGATTACAAGAACAACAAAAAAAAGATACCTGTGATAACTTCTAAACTTAGTCCAGATATGTCTGTTTATACACTAAACTGTCTTTTTTTTTTTTTAATTGTATTTATTTATTTATTTAAATTTGACCAGAGAGGGACAGAGTGAAAGAGAGGGAAAGTAAGAAAGCAAGTTGCTGGGTCCAGGACTGGAACCACAGTTAGCCATGTGGGAGTCCAGCGTCCTTAACCACCATGCCACCTGCCAACCCCTAAAAATGCTGTTTTAAAGATGTTAAAGATGTAATTTGTGTGTTGTACTTTAAAGATTAGTCTTTCAAACCATTCCCAAATTTGGATTTTTTTAATTTAATTTAATTTTTTTATTTTTTATTTGTCAGAGGTCACATGTGCTGGCTTGGGGGAGAGAGAGAGAAAGAATAAATCTTCTATGAGCCATGGTCACACCATGTGCCCAATGTGTTTTTTAAGCTGCAGTCTAGGGCTTGAACCTGTGGTTAAGCATTTGGGATCCAGCTGCCTTACCCAACAGACCCCTAAATTAGACAGGTCTCCTAAATGTGAATTTTAAGCTCACCTTCCCAAGGACTTAGAGTCTGGGATATCTCATTGTATTTGCCAGTAAACAACAATAAGTAAATACAAGGAAAACTAGATTTCTTTCCTTTTTTTTTT